AATCATCTCCGCTTGACCATTATGGTTGCTCAAAAAAAAAAAAGATTTTAGATTTTCAAAATAGTGTATATTGCAACGAATCATCTAGACCATCCATTTTTCTCTTAAAACAAGTGATCATAGATCCACAAGTTCTTTACCGTTTTTTTAATTTCAAATTTCATTGTCGTTGTTGGAAATTAATTTTAGAGCCATCATGAAAATTTATGATGCCAAAAGTGCTTTTCGAATGAGGATTTGAGGTGAAGCTTTATTTTGTTTTCATAAAGCGTTTGTTTTCATAAAGCGTAGCTTGTAGAAACCACATCTTTATGAAAATAAAGTAAAGTTCCACCTCGAATCCTCATTTGGAAACCACTTTGAGTATGGAAAATCTTTGTCATATCTCTAAAATCAATTATAATAATAACTATGAAATTTTAGCCTAAAAAACTGGTACAAATCCCTGTAGTCTCCTTCTTTTTCTTTTACCTCCCTCTTTCTTGTTTTCTTTTCCTGTTTTTCTTTCTGTTGTACCTTTTTTTTATTAATTAATAAAAACTGTCACTTGTTCAATAAAAACAAAAATGGTACAAATCTTGTGGATCTATGAATATTTATTTTTAAGACACAATATACGATTTAGATAATGTATTACTATATAAAGTATTTTTAGGGCTTCAAATCTTAATTTTCTTATGGTTAGGCCAAAATGATCAATTTGAAGGTTTGTCGATGCCAAAGTTGTAATTTTTAATGAGTTTTGAGGTGAGGTTTTTTTATTGGAGCCCTATCAAAACATTATTCATATCTATATTGTCCCAAATGTAAGAAGAGTTTTAAAAGGCGATGCATAGTGATGAAGACAAGAGTTTGTGAAGAGCATCATTTGAAGACAAAATATTTGGCCCCTAGTGATTAAAATCAGTTACATTATATTAACATACTTGAAAGTTGAGGGTTTATATCTCATCTTTCGCCTGTCCGGTGAACTTTACCTTTATGATCTCAATGCATCAGCGTTTCCTGAAATTTAGAAAGAAAAAGTAAATAAAGAGAGAAACCCGATGTAATAGTTGTGTTTTGAAAGTAAACAATGAGATCATATTTATAGAGTGAGAAAGAACCACTACATGCGGAGAGTCGTGACCGTAGGCATCTTACTGTTCATTTGATTGTTTAGAATTAACAGTTATTAGCTGCCCCACGGTCAATTAGGGCTAGGATGGGAACTAGACCCGACCCGATCCGATCCAACTAGGTTTTTGGTCAGACTTGGTCTGAAATGGGGCATGAGTAGTCTCCTCATGGAAAATCTATGCCTATGCAGACATAGGAAAAATGAAAATATTTTTTTGGAAAGAAAAGAAAAACAAGACACCGCAATCCCGGTATGTCGTGCCATGAAAAAGTATGATGGGAAATTCATACCTAGTGTAGGCATAGGAAAAATGATTTTTGAAAAAGAAAAATAGGACATTGCAGTCCTAGTTTGTCGTCTCATAGAAAGGTGTGATAATACAATGAAAATATATGAGGGTGCCTAATGAAAAGGCATAAAAAAATATTGTGTTTAAAAAGAAATAGGACATCGTTGTCCTAGTTTGTTATGTCATGAAAAGGCATGATGATGCCATGAGAATGCATAAAAAACATTTTTTAAAAAAAGGAACTGCTGTCCTAGAGCGTTATGGCATGAGAAAGCATAAAAAAAATAGGAGAA